TATAATAGGCTCAAACATAACAATTGTGAGTGTGGCGCAGGACCTTGCAAGGTTCCCTTCTGTTGTTCGTCGAGTTGATGCGAGTTGGGAAGACTCGAGGGTACCTAACGACAGCACAGCACAACCTTCTAGCTCAGCTAAAGTAGATAAACTCGGTGCCAAGATCATAACATGATCCCCTGGTAATGTCGAATTTATCAAACTGGATTAGGAGTGCTACTTACGCAACCCTTTTCTACACAAGGAGAGAATTGTGTATGTCCACTCCCTTGCACAGTTAGGTAATTGTTTCTTGATTGTTGAATAAATGAGACCTGGGAATGTCCAGCAAAAATATTTAACTGATTTGAACTAATTTTTATTACAGTAATTAAGAAACTCTAAAATTAAGCCTATTGTGTTATTTTTTCTTTTTGTGTTTTTAAGAAACAACTATTTTCTCAAAATGGCAATTGAGAAAAAGCCTTGATAATGTAGCATTTTGTATAGTTTGCAAAGGTAATGTTAGGAAGCTGCTCCAGTTTCTCTCTGTAGAGAATTATTAATTGCTTGCATTTTTACATACTTAGAAGTATATTCAGTAGTGGTTTATGCGCTGGACTCCTAATTGCAAGGTCAGTAGTTTGAAAACTCTAGCTCCTCTATGGAAGAAAGATGAGGCTTCCTACTCCTGTAAAGATACATAGTCTTGGGAACTTACAGGGGTGGTTCTACTCTGTCTCATTGGGTCACTGTGACTAGGTATCAACTCGATGACAGTAAGAGTTTGGAAAAACACAATTTTTATATAAGGTTATTAAGCTAATTATTAAGTTATTATTAAATTGTGAGCTTCTAAGAGATAGGTTCCAAATCTTTTATTCTTATTATGTCTTACAAACATGATGTAGATCTTGTGGCTTAAGACTTATTTATAATAAATTTTTATCTGGGTGGATTTGATAATTAGAAAGCTTAGGTAACCTAAGCTGTTACATTATTCACAAACAGATGAGTTTGAAAAATGTTTCCAAAAATGGAATTGTAGATTTGACAAATGTATTACATGTAATAGAAGGTACTTTGAAGAAGATAAGTTTGTTTTGTAAAAAAATTAAATAGCTTTGAAAAAAAAGTCCAGTTTTGTTTTGGGTATATATATATATACATACATATATAGTCCTTCAATTTCTTTTATTTGATCTATCTATGATCTCAAGTGAAGGACACACTATTATTTTGGATAATCTAGAGTTTCTTATTTATATACCTCAAAATGATTTAAAAATCATTTTCCTATACTTGGGAAGTCACTGGATCTACTGTAGACTTAAGTAGCTCATAAAGCATAAGAAAGCTCAGTAATCACTAGTGGAATGTTGTCTGTATTCCCAGGTGATGCAACTGTGACAATAGCTCATAGATACACCCCCAAAGAACAACTGAAGATCCACACTCAGCTGGCAGATGTTATCATAGTCGCTGCAGGTAAGCTGTCTGGAGCTTAGAAGTCTTTCGTTACCAAGCAGTTCTTGCTGACAGAGGAATGTGTGTGACTAACTTCCTGATTGGGTTATATCTTTGACAATCACCATTGAACCTTTTTGCCAGTGTTAGCATTTATCAATCCATTAGGAAGCCCCAGACAGCCTTTGGAACAGCAGGTGAAGCTTACAAACAAATGCCCATTCTGCCAATTTGGTTTTTATTTTCATTTTAGCAGTTTTCTTGACACAGAATTCAGATGTCTCACAATTCAATGGTTTAAACTTACCAAAAAGAGTTGTGCAAACATGATTGAGCAGCATTTATAGAAAAAAGTCAATATGGGTCAATGATATATCGTGACTATGGGGGAAAAACAACAACAATAATGGCAACAACAAGAACTAATGTGTTCTCAAGTTCAATTGATGGCAATGTCCTGTCTAGGCAGACAACCACAATGCTCTTGGCACCAGGTTAGGGCTGATTTTAGACTTCAAGGGGAAAGTGAATGGGCTGAATCAGGTGTAAAGGAAAGGGTCTAGAATAATAGTTTCCAAAACAGATGGCATGTGGGCTAATGAACTGAGTATATTTAATCAGAAAGGGAAAAAAAGAGTATGATTACAGAAAATATAATAGTATGTTTTTGTTGTTGATTTAAAAAAAATAAACTTAAAAGTGACAACAAACTTTGTAGCAATTAGAGCTACCAGAAAACCCCAATTCTTGAGTAGTGTGTTCCCTCTAAGTACAGTGATTGGGGAGAAGATCGATAAGAACTTAGGAACATACTTGCAGAGAACTGTTCACCAATTTTTACTAACCCTTGCACCTGTTTAAGACACAAAACCAAAACAAAAAAATCCATGGCCTCTTTTAACTTCATTTAAATATTTTAAGTTTTACAGGTAAAACCCCCTGCAAACAGTTATTAATCATTCGAACTTTTATTCTCTAGAGAATGTGTTCTAGTCCTTTGTCCCTCACCACTTAGGATCACCAGAGAAAGTGTTCATGGATTGCATAGCAGCTTAGGCTCATTGGGTTTTAATATTTCCTCAAGTTTTGAGACTATGTTGTTCTATATTTTAACATGGAAGAAAGAGAAGATTTATTTGTGTTACTCTATATAGCAGGTGGATGAGAAAGACATTTTACTTCTGAGCGGAGAGAGAGTGTATGAGTGGATAATCCAGTTATGGATATTTAAGAGTTTACTGTAGCATTCTGATTTTAATCAAATACGGATATGTTTGAATAGTGAAATGACTACTAGACTGATTCATCCACTGGATAAACGCAGCATGCACCAGGAGCTGTTCTAAGTTCTAGGGATGCAGCAGTGAATAAAAATGACAAAACCTCAGCTCTTGTTAAGGTATATCTCAGTGGGAGAGAGAACGGTAAATGGGCTATACATAAACACGCTATAAAATATAACGCTAAGTACTGACATAGCGCATCGGGCAATTCTGTAGCAGAAGACTTCTTTAAAGTGTTAAAGAACAAAGATGTCATTTTGAAGAAGGTGCATCTAACCCAAGCCATGGTATTTTCAGTTGCCTCATATGCATGTGAAAGTCGGACAATGAATATGAAAAACTGCAGAAGAATTGATGCATTTGAATGATGGTTTTGGAGAATAATATCGAAAGTAACCTGGACTGCCAAGAGCAAACAAATCTGTCTTGAAAGAAGTGTAGCCACAATCCTCCTTTGAAGTGGAGATGGCAAGATTTTTTCTCATATACTTTGGACACATTATCAGGAGGAACTGGTCTAAGCGAAAGGACGTTATGCTTGATAAAGCAGAGGTTCAGCAAAAAAGAGGAAAATGCTTTACAAGCTGGAGATGGATTGGCCCAGACTTAACAATGATGAGCAAAGCACAGGCCCAAGGAGCTTCATTGTGTTGCACATAGGTTCTCTAAGAGGGTAAAACAACTTGAAGGCGCCTAATAGCAATAACAACAGATAGTGGCTAATGCAGGCCTTCACCTTCCATACTTTGGACAGACTGTCAGGAGAGACCAGTGCCTGGAGAAGGACATCGTGTTTGCTATAGTAGAGGAGAGTGAGAAAGAGTCAGGCCCTTGACAAGATGGATTGAGGCAGTGGCGGCCGTCAATGGGGTTGGGCATAGGAACAATGGTGAGGCTGGCACAGCAGCAGGCAGTATTTTCTTCTGTTGTGCACAGGTCAGAGCCAACTTGGTGGCACCTAAAACCAACAACAGTGGTTGGTGCTACAGGGAAAAGTGAAGGGTGAGGACATAGAGTGGACAGGGGATCTCCTTAAAAGAGATGGGTCTGCTGAGTGATTGGTTAGATCTTTCTGGGATTTAACTTGAAGCAAAATTCATGTTCTGACCCTTTTCCATTTGCTTGCCAGATCCAATCTCTGTCCTCCCCTACCCGGCTTTGGCCCAGAGAGGCTGGCTACTGAGGACTGCCTTACCTTTGTTCCTCTGTAACGAGCTCCTAGCAGTGTTTGTCAGAGAGAAAGTGTCTTTCAGAGGCAGGGATCAGAGGGAGAAGGAGAGGCTGGTCAAGTCTGGGTCTGTCTTATCTACTCCTTCTCTACTTCTGTGTGCTTTCTACTTCCTCCCGTGTCTATGGTTTGTACTGAAGAACTTCCCTCTCTCCCTGCAAGATTATTTACTCCCTCTACCTCTTCAATTTTGAAGACCACACATGCTTCCTAATATTTTTAGTCTCAAAACTCCTCAGTATTCCTTTTTTACCTCCCCCAACCCCACCTGCTGTGGTAGTTACATAATTTTGTGTCAACTTGATAAATAAGAGTGTAGGGTAGAGTCCAACCTGTCAATCAGGTCACAGCCTGATGATGTCTCCTTCAGGGTGTGGTCTTCTCATAAGGAGGGTCCTGGGGACCTCGCCCTTCTCTCTGTCTTTACCTTCCTGCTATCACTCGGGAGCTGCCAGAGCCACTGCCATTGGATCCACAGGACTTTGCACCCACCAGTCAGTGATGTTCCTGCATTCTGCATCATTGCATGTGGCTTCATGAGTCTGAAGAGGGATTTATGGACTAGTATCAGGTTTATGACCTAGTATTGGACTTATGGAGTTGATCTGGACTGGGCTGGGATGTTTTATTGATGCATAATTACTCTTTAATATATAGCTCTTTCTTACATATATGTGACTGTAAGTGAATTTGTTTCTCTAATCTACCCAGCCTAATACACCCACTTAGTCCCAACCATATCTTTTTAAAAATCACTTCATTGATATCTCCATCTGAACACATCTGGGCTTGATTCCTTTTCCTGCCAGGACTCTGACTGGTGCATGCCTAATAAAGAGAAGGAACAAATCAGGGGAAAATCCAGAAGGAAGAGCACCTTGTCCTCTTTACACGTGTCCTATTTTCATGGCCCCGTCCAATCATTTGCCGAGAGGAAAGCAAGTATAGAAATCCTTAGGGAGGAGAATGGTGGGATCTTCCAAACATGGATATTTGAGAACTTTTTCTATCATCCTGGTATTATATAAACTTGAATGTATTATGAGGAGGTTGGGAGGAAATTATATTGGAAAGATAGCTATGGCTAGTTCATGTAGGACCTTGCAGTGCATGACAAGGCAATGTCTGGCTTCCCTATTGCCATGAGGCAGGATTTGGACATGCATCCACCTTCCAGCCTTCTTGATTCTGAAACCAGCAATTCCTTTCCTGGAACTCTACTTCTATGACATGTTCGAGAATGCATTGCAACGGCCAGACAAAACTCGGAGACAACATCCACAGTTAAGGGGGTTTAGTAGGGACGTTAATAGGTGGCCACAAGCCAAGATTACTAAAAAGGCATTAGTCCACAGCAAAACCTCTTCTTAGTCAGCAGCCACATCTCTCCCAGCCCTCAGCCAGTCATCCTTGTGTTCCCTTGGCCTCTCTCTCCAAGGGCCAGGAAGCCAGCATGCTGCTCTGCCTCATAGTCTCTGAACCTCAGTGTTACGCCTCTATTGTCTCATGGTCTCCTAGCAGTGGCCTCTGGTGCCTCTGGTCTTGGCCTCTGCAACGTAGACAGAGATCTTGAACATGGTCCACTTCCAGTGGCTCTGGCATTTCTTTCTCTATGCTCCTGCTCAAAGAGGGGTCATCCTTATAGCCAGGAGAGCGGTAAAAAAAAGTGATCAATCCCTTGTGCTAGTGTTCCATGTATCCTGTTTGCACAATCCCACTCAACCCTTCCTGGAAGTTCCAGCGACAAGGATAGAAGCACATATCAAGAAATGTCACTCCACCACAGACCTTGTAGGCAAAAATAAGAATGTTTCTATAAGCCAAGGATAATCGAGAGCAGGAGCTTGACATGGTCTTACTAATATTTATAAAAGATCGCACAGGCTTCAAGAAGAAATGGCTCTAGAGGAGCAAAACCAGAGATGGGACAGTTAAAGCACTTGTGCTTAATGGACCTTGGGTTCTCCTAACTTATTTTATATTTGAACATGCAAATTACCTTACCTTTATTTCTACCTTGATTCTTGCCCTCTATTAGTTTATATGTGATAGAGAGAATTATGACTTTTTTTAACCCTTATCTAAGACTAATGAGAACCTTTAACATTTTGCCTATCATATAGATGTTATTGGTAATTTATATACTTTAAAAACAAACTTTTGAATATTTACAAACCAACAAGGGAAGGTAGGGTTTCCTGAACACATTAAGTTTTATAAAGAGGATAATGATAGTTCAAATTAGTTTCAACCAAATTTAATTCAATTCCCTATTCTTTAAAAATTGTTTTCTTATTTATTTATTTTAATTTAGTATTAATTGGAAATTAGTATATATATCATTCCTTGGTTCCATAGTTCAATCAAGCAGAATTGTACAATTGCTACCACAATCTGTTTCCAAACATTCTTTTTCTTCCTGGACTCCTTGACATCATCTCCCATTTATGCCCCCACCACCACTGTATCCCCTCCCCACACACAAAAATAAAAACCTCATTTTACTTGCT